AACAGGGGTATTCAGGGTGAAAGAAACTTTGCCCATTTGTTTCTGCCTGGTGCGGGAATCGAACCCGCGCCACAGAATTGCGAGTCCTGCCCGCTGTCCGCTCAGCTACCAGACCCCTAACGGGTGTGTGTGTACTCACCTAATTGTACTTACCTAGTTGTACTTGCGGGGGTTGAGCTCTGGCTCTTTGGTCCCGCCTCTCAACCGTCAATCAGCTGAAGTACAGGTTCCTGAGCCTCTGACCTCTATCATATCTACATTTGAAACTGTATAGAGTGAGCCTCCACTACATTACTGCCTAATGAATTCCACTTGCTAACTACTCTGACACTGAAAAAATTCTTTCTAGCGTCTCTGTGACTCATTTGGGTACTAAGTTTCCACCTGTGTCCCATTGTTCGTGTCCCACCAGTGCTGAAGAGTTTGTCTTTGTCCACCCTATCAACTATCCGGTGTACTCACCTATTTGTACTTGCGGGGGTTGAGCCTTGTCTCTTTGGTCCCGCCTCTCAACCGTCAATCAACTGGTTTACAGATTCCCGAGCCTATTGGGCTCTATCATATCTACATTTGAAACTGTGTATGGAGTGTGTGTGTGTGTGTGTGTGTGTGTGTGTGTGTGTGTGTGTGTGTGTGTGTGTGTGTGTGTGTGTGTGTGTGTGTACTCACCTAATTGTACTCACCTAATTGTGCTTGCGAGGGTTGAGCTCTGGCTCTTTAGTCCCGCCTCTCAACTGTCAATCAACTGATGTTCAGATTCCTGAACCTACTGGGCTGTCATATCTACATTTGAAACTGTGTATGGAGTCTAACTCCACCACATCACTTCCTAGTGCATTCCATTTAATAACTACTCTGACACTGAAAAAAGTTCTTTCTAATGACTCTGTGTCTCATTTGGGTACTCAGCTTCCATCTGTGTCCCCTTGTGCGTGTGCCACCCGTGTTAAATAATACATCCGTGGCCACCCTGTCAATTCCCCTGAGAATTTTGTTTGTGGTGATCATGTCTCCTCTAGCTCTTCTGTCTTCCAGCGACGTGAGGTGCAGTTCACGTAGTCTGTCCTCATAACTCATGCTTCTTAGTTCTGGGACTAGCCTAGTGGCATACCTCTGAACTTTTTCCAGCTTCGTCTTGTGCTTGACTAGATACAGACTCCATGCTGGGGCTGCATACTCCAGGATTGGCCTGACATATGTGGTATACAAGGTTCTGAAGGATTCCTTACACAGGTTTCTGAAAGCCGTTCTGATGTTCGCCAGCCTCGCATAGGCCACTGATGTTATTGTTTTGATGTGGGCTTCAGAAAGACGTGAATATCAATATGGTTTGGCATAATATCAACTCCCAGATCTTTCTCTCTGTCCGTTTCGTGAAGGACTTCATCTCCCAATCGGTATCCAGTGACTGGCCTCCTAGTTCCTCCTCCTAGCTTCATTACCTTACATTAACTTGGGTTGAACTTTAGTAGCCATTTGTCGGACAATTCCTTCAGTTTGTCCAGGTCTTCTTGTAGCCTCATACTATCCTCCTCTGTCCAGATCCTCCTCATAATTTTTGCGTCATCAGCAAACATTAAGAGGAACGAGTCAATTCCATCTGGGAGATCATTTATGTATATCAGAAACAGTATAGATCCAAGGACTGAACCCTGTGAACTCCACTGGTGACTCCCCGCCACTCCAAGACCTCACCCCTCACGGTGATTCGCTGTGTTCTGTTGCTTAGGTTCTCTCTTATCCAGTTGAGTACCGTCCCATTCTCTCCTGTCTGCATCTCCAGTTTGTGCACTAGTCTCTTATGTGGTACTGTGTCAAAAGCTTTCTGGCAGTCCAGAAATATGCAGTCTGCCCAACCCTCTTTCCCTTGCCTGATTTTTGTTGTCTGGTCATAGAACTCATTTAATCCTGTTAGGCATGATTTGCCGTCTCTGAATCCATGTTGATTTTCTGTTACAAAATTCTTTTGCTCCAGATGTTCCAGTAGCTTTTTTTGCACAATCTTTTCCAGCATCTTGCATGGAATGCAAGTTTGGGACACTGGCCTGTAGTTCAGTGCCTCCTGCCTATCACCCTTTTTGTATATTGGGACTACATTGTCCGTATTCCAAATTTTTGGCAGTTCACCTGTTACTAGTGACTTGCTGTACACCATGGATAGTGGTAGGCACAGAGCTTCTGCTCCTTCCTTTAGAATCCATGGTAAGATTCCATCCCGGCCTTTAGCCTTTGTCACGTCCACATCTAGCAGATGCTTTCTCACCTCCCCACTGGTAATCACAAACTCCTCTAGTGGTGTCTGGGTTGATGTGTGTGTGTGTGTGTGTGTGTGTACTCACCTATTTGTACTCACCTATTTGTGCTTGCAGGATCGAGCATTGACTCTTGGATCCCGCCTTTCCAGCTATCGGTTGTTTACAGCAATGACTCCTGTCCCATTTCCCTATCATACCTAATTTTAAAATTATGAATAGAGTTTGCTTCCACAACCTGTTCTCCAAGAGCATTCCATTTTTCCACTACTCTCATGCTAAAAGAAAACTTCCTAACATCTCTGTGACTCATCTGAGTTTCCAGTTTCCACCCATGTCGACTCATTCTGTTATTATTACGTGTGAACATTTCATCTATTTCCACTTTGTCAATTCCCCTGAGTATTTTATATGTCCCTATCATATCTCCTCTCTCCCTTCTTTTTTCTAGTGTCGTAAGGTTCAGTTCCTTCAGACGCTCTTCATATCCCATCCCTTGTAACTCAGGGACAAGCCTGGTCGCAAACCTCGGAACCTTCTCTAGTTTCCTTATGTGTTTCTTCAGGTGGGGGCTCCATGATGGTGTGGCATACTTTAAGACTGGTCTCACGTAGGCATTGTAAAGCGCCCTAAAAGCCTCCTCACTTAGGTTTCTGAATGAAGTTCTAATTTTCGCCAGTGTCGGGAAACCGACACACACACACAACCACACACACAAATAACACAGTCTCCCCTAGTCTATACTCCCTTCAGGATGGAAAATGGGAGACTCCGTGACGTCATCGAAGTCATCGTATATTTACATTATGAAACATTGTTAATAGACTAGTTTAGTCTCTAAAGTTAACAAAAAAGTATTCAATAAGAATGAATATAATTATTTACATCAAATAGTAGCTAGGTTCCCTTGTTAATGTAAAATTACTTTGAGTGAGGAACCAGAGCATTGGGCGTTGGCCCGAGTCGAGGGAGGCCCGCTCCACATACACAACAACAAACAGGGGACCAGCTACCACGCTGTCTTAACTGGTGTAAACAACTAGACACCCCATTTACGTGTCAACACCAGCAACACAGCCTAACAACATCACAACAACGACTGTATCCGTCTACCAAGTATTGTTTATTATTCAAGTGCACTGATTAATATAAATAGGTAGATGGTTATATCGTAGGACATCCCCAAATACAACGTACGTGTACCCCATTACAACCCTCACAGTTCATGTCATACCTGTAATTGATATGTTTAGGGAACTTTGATTAATTCCTTGCATCCCATACAGGTAAATTGTGAGAGGAGCATCAAGAATCTGTGCAGACAGTTGGTTCATACACATAATTAACTACTTGTTTGCCAAGCCTTGTCCTTCCCACCAGCCGCCATTACGTGGCACAAAGAGGCAGGGCCACACCCATCTTGAGGCTACACCTACACGCCTTACTAGGCCCATTCTACTGGCTCAGCTAAGACATTTTAGTATAGCAGTAGCAGTAGTTATAATCAATTATTATATTATAAGTAGATTAGACCACCATATGTGGTATACTATACATTGCAATAACTAAATTAACAGATTTAAAGGTAAATAATTGGTAGTTTAAGAAGGAGCCATAACAAAGTGGTTTAGGCTACCAATTGTCCCTCCCAATAGTGTGTAAGAAGATTTCAGGCAGTTTACCAGTACATACAGTCCACTTAATTAATACTTACTTACTAAGAAAATAAATAAGACATAACTTTATTTTATTAAATCAATTTGAAAAAGAGAGTTTAGCTGCCTGGAATTTCCCCACAATATTTGGTCCTACGAACCGGATTATATTTAGTTCTTTGAACTAGATATTATACATACATATAGTGATAGTGCAATATTACCTACACATTATAGCAGGAAGACACTGCTATATTTTTTGCATTTTCTAGCCTAACTTTTCAATGTCATAGCAAACAGAACTTACAACAAGCACTATTATTGTTCTGACAGTACCAAAGGAACAATTGTGCTTTTTTCATTTCATTACAAGAGGTTGATAAGAGGCTACTTTACTTATAAGTTACTTATATATGTTTTTTTGTAATTATTGCATTATTATTGCCATTACTGTAACATTTACTGCATGCCACATCATTTAC